TATATTTGCTGATGAGAGTAAATTTAATATATTTGGTTCTGACGGTAGAATCTTGATGTGGAGAAAACCCAGGGAAGAATTTCGCAAACAGAACTTGGTGCCAACAGTAAACATGGAACATGGTGGAGGAGGAGTTATGGTATGGGGGTGTATGTCGTCCGCTGGAGTTGGTAATCTTGTTTTTATGGACAGTATAATGGATCAGTACAAGTATATTGACATTTTAAATCAAAATTTGAAATCTTCAGCACGAAAATTGAACCTTCATAACGATTTTAAATTCTACCAGGACAATGACCCCAAGCACAGTAGTGCTTTGAACGTTAGACTCTGGCTGCTGTATAACTGTCCTGAAATAATAAAAACACCCCCGCAATATCCAGACTTAAATCCCATACAGAATATTTGGCTAGAATTGGAATCAAGAATTCGCAAACGCACCATTTCTTCAAAACAACAATTAAAATCGGTGCTTCGAGAAGAATGGGGTAAAATCACTCCAAAAATCACAAAAAAATTAGTCGAATCCATCCCAAGAAGATTAAATCATGTTTTAAAAGTAAAAGGAAATCCAACAAAATATTAAAACCTTTTAAAAAGTAAAATTTTGGGATAAATATTTGATGGAAAAGTAAGTGTCCCATCACTTAAGTGAGCCATTTTCTGCTCCGTTCTAAACAATTGTATTTAATTAATATTTTAATATTTTGAGAAAATGTATGTTATGTAATAATTGTTACTAAATTTAAGTATGAAACACACCCGCAAAAAATTTTACATGTTTTTTAAATTTATTTTATTGCAGTTTCCTTTTGTAAAGCACAAGTGTCCCATCACTTTTTTGAGACACTGTATGATATTAACACTGTGGAAAAATGGCGGCCCCTAGAAACACCAAATTTTGAATGCCTGTAGTTAGTTCTCTCGAATACGTGCACCTCGAAACACGAATTTTAAGTTTGGAAGTTTTTTTTTCATTTATTTCATATTTTGTGGGAATTTTAATCATTCTTGAATAACAAATTCGACGATTTAAAAGCTGTATGTTGCCACTCGGCAAAGCGAAAGATATTTACTTTTTAATTCATTTAGAAAACTCGGAGATTTTAAAAGAAATGCGTTGACACTCGTCAAAGCGTAAGAATTCAAATTTAAAGAAAGAAATCAGCTATTAATCAGAAATGTGTTGACACTGCACGATGTATAATATTTATATTTTCGATGCATCAGAGTGTTGCCACTTTGTTAAGCATAAGTATTTAATTTTTCTTTCAAATTTAATCTGTCTGCAATTGATTTACAAACCAAGCAATTCAAAAGCAATAAATTCTTTATCTCTAATATTATCTACTATTAGTTACTAGTTGGACCTGTGAAATTATTCAAGTTAAACTATTAAAAGCCTTGCATATTTTTTTTAGCCAAAGGACTAAAAAAAATTATGCGTCGAAAACTTTAAAAGTCTGAGACACTTTTCAAATTGTGGCCAACAAATATTGCCCCTCTGTATTATAGTTAAAGAAATTAAATAATGAAAAATCTGCATAAATGCTGGTATATTTCTCACTTGTGATAAAACAGCGGTACCTAGAGCCATCCCATATGCAAAACATCATTGAAATCGTTATTAAGGGATCTTCTGCAGCGAACTGTACAACAACACAGAAAGATCGAACATTATTCAAATATATTTCATCAACTTTTATAGAAATCCACTTCAATTAAACGTCAAGTCATTAACAAAAATTTAAGCTTCGAAAATGTTTCCTTAGTTTATAATTTAATTTTCATTTTTTTTAAATATATATATATATATATTATATTTTATTTGGTTTAAAATTTCCATTTTTAACTGGTAGCTGGAATTGCGACTATTTTTTTTCCCTCTGAAAACGATTTCATTTAACTAGCGTAAAACGATTGCTTTTTAGAATATTAAGCGAGATTTTTATCTGGACGCAAGCATTTGAATTTATAAGATGAAGCACAAATAACGCCCTGTTTTGAACCGATAATTTCTACCAGATTTCATTGTAGAATTGTAAATATTTTACGGAAATTCAGAAGCAGATAATAGCGAAGCCTTCGTACGACATACTACGTGAAATTTTTGAAATTCTGCCTGCTCGTGCGATTATAGTGTTTAAAAGGAGAGTTATTTCTGCCAGAACTTGAATAACAATAGCTGTAATAACAGCATTTGAAACAATACATTTAAAAAAATTATTACTTTTTACACTATCTGCCTTACTGCGTTTCCAAAATAAAACACATCACCATATTCTCTACATAAGAAAAGTTATTAATAAATCTTTTTAGTCCAAAAGGGACGTTAGTCTCGAAGCGGCATTTTGCTTCGAAACACTTAAATGCGTTCTATGACTTTTCAAATTGTTGCCACCAAATATTATATTTAAAGAAATAAAATAATGGAGAATCTGAGTGAATGTATACATATATCACTGGGAAGAAACACCAATACTTAAAGCCATCAAATTCTGAATAACGTAGTCCTCCACCCGAACATAAGCACCTGAAAGCCCGAATATCGAATTTATTTTATTATCTGTTTCATATTTTATGAAACTTTAGCGAATTTTTTAACTCAATTATTAATAAACTCAATGATTTCAAACGAGCAGTGGCAACACTGTACGAAGTAAAATATTTTTATCTGCAATCCGCGAGACTGTCTGTCGGAAATTCTAAAGATATGCTGTTTTTAAATATTTTGTAATTTTACTGTTGAATCGAATTTCGTGTGGCATAAACGCCAAAACGTGATATATAATAAATAAAGTAAACACACAAACATCACTAATAAAAAGACAAAATATATTGTGTAAAGCCATCTTAATAGGAGAACTGACTGATAAACTGGGAATAAACTGAAAAAACAGAAAAATGTATGGCAACACTAAATGCTGCATCGGGAATTCTAAACATATACTACTATGCTTTTGGAATTCTTGTAATTTTGCTGTTGAATTGTATATAGCGTAAGTGCGAAGAAAATTATGCTTAATAATAAAGCTAAAAAGACCAAAAAAAAAAAAAAAAAAGAGAGAGAGAGAGAATAGGTTAATTACAGCAAAAAATGAGTGCAATAGAAGAGTGGTAGATTGCGAGCTTAATACTTATGTTTTTAAATAATGAGTATATATGTTAAGATATATTTGGATTCATGAAAAACAAATTAAAATCGGTTTAAAAAAAAAAGCAAACTTAAGATAACAGCCTAAAACCTCAAAGAATAATTTACCATCAAAATTTCTAAATATTAAAAAGGTATTAAAAACCATTATAATTAATGCAACATCTTAAAAATTATAATATAAATGGTTCTGTAATAGTAGCGTAGCATATGACGTTGAAAGCATTTTTTGACAATTATAAAAACAACTGCTTCCGGTTTACACTACAATTTTCAGCATTACTTGCAAAAGTTCTTAAGAACTCTCATTTTTATATATTGCAAAATAAATGTGTTTACAACAATTAGATATTAGATATATAATTTTTTAAAAGTTAAATGAAACTGACATTACTAATTTTTACGTTTATTGCTTTTAAATCGCACAGCTTGGTAATTAATACCAGACTGAATTAGTTTAAAAGATAAATTGTAGATCTTTTGCTTTGCCAGATGACAACACAAATAAAATTAGCAACTTGAAATGCCACCTGGAAGATGCGATTTAATTAAAGGTCTTTTTTTTTTCGCCGGGTGATAACACGTTTGCTCTAAAATCGCACACTTTGTTAATCGGTAACAGACACTGCTTCAACTTAAAAGGAAAATTAAAGATCTTTCACAAGACCATATTCTAAGAAGCCGCTATGTCCGGAAGGCGCGTGGAAAATAAATTTTAAATCTTATGTGTTATTCCGTGACTGCTTCTAAATTCTTTTCGTTTCGTTTTTCTTACTCGGCAAATTTTAAAGAATTTTATGTGCTAACTAAAAAGCACTGCTCCTCCTTCGACGTGTAAAAAAAAAAAAAAAAAAAAAAATTATTGTTCAATTGCTTTAAACATAACGCAGAACGTGTTTCTTTTCAATTAAAATCAAACCAAGACATTATTTTTAGTCCAAAGGGGAATTTGCCCAGAAGAACAATTAATTTCATTTTGGCATTTTGCATCGATTCAGGATAAGTGTGGTTTCATTTTTCAAGATGTTCCCATCAAATAATATCGCTCTGTATTATATTTAAAAAAATTAAATAATGAAGAATCTGCATGAATGTATTATGTTTCTCGCATTGTCATAAAACAACGATACCTAGATCCATCAAAATTCGAATAATTTAATCTTCCATAGAATGTGGAAGCCCTAATTTGAATTTGAAATTTGTTTTATAATCGATTTCATATTTTGTAACACTTCAACGAATTTTTGATTAGAAAACTCGATGATTTCAAAGCGAGCAATTGCAACACTGTATAAAGGGGGGGGGAAATATCTCCAGTGGCCGCGACTCTGTATCGGAAATTCTAAAGATATGCTAATTTTAAAATTATTCTGCGATATTGCTCTTTGAACTGAATTTTATGGTTTAAGTGCGAAAAACATGATACTTAATAAATAAAGGTAACCCACAAAATGTTAAAAAAACGCCCTTTTGACGTAATTTAAAATCTGAAAACCTTCAGATTTTTATTATTATTATTATTATTAATATTATTTTATTGATTTCGATTAGCTCACAAAACAAGAACGAACTGTTCAAAGCAAAAATTTTTTATAAATAAATTAAATAAAGAACAGTACAAAGGTACTTTCCATTAATTAAAAACATTAAAAGCAAGCCTAACTGTAATTAACTTAGAAAGAAGTAAGAGAGAGCCGGGTAAGTAGGGTTTCGAATAGCAGACGACAGGATAAATAGAAACTTTATTGCATATTGGCAGCATTAATTTATCCCAATTACTAACATACGAAATTATTTTTTTGAGCTTCTGTTAGATTTAATTTTTGAAATTTCGCTAAGAACTTACCCTGTGAGAAAGCCAGTTGTACAATGCTTGTTAAAATTAGAAAATAACAGATCCACCTCATTGTTCCTGTCGTTGGTCTTGACTTCATAGTCGTCTGCGTTCTGCAACACTCAACTTCCTACACTATCGTTTGAAGGAAGTAGTTGACCACGTGTTTTGTACAGGAAACCAGTCTTATCGGCAGTAGTGTCTTTCTAAATGAAATAAATACATCCTGAACGTATGAAAAACAACTCCTGGACGGAAAATTTCGATCCTGTCTGAGCAGATTGCGATACCCAGGTAGAATTTAGAAACCCCTTTCACAACGAGATCTTGATACAGAGAAACCATCGAAAGCAAAAGATACTATCGCCTGCTAAATGCATACTTCGGGAGCAATATTAGGAGACAAGCACATAGGTGGGAGAAATTCGACGCCTGAGTTCTTGAGACCATTGTTAAATCCCTTCTTTTACTGTCACAAACTTTTCTTTTATCTTGAATGCCTAAGTTGCTGCATCTTTCTATCAGTAGCTTCAAACTGTAGAAGTTTTTTTTTTTTTTTCATTAAGAACCCTCTTTCAATATTCTTGATATTGTATTTGCTGCTTTTACTTGATGTTCCAACTATATCATCTATTTTAAATAATTTTTTAAACTCTTTAAAAAATTTGAAAGCTTTCATATTTTATATTACGCCCAAAAGGCCGTTTTTTTAATATTTTATCTGGTACCTTTGTTTATTAAATATCGCACTTAAACCATAAAATTCAATTCGACAGCAGTATCTAAAAAGAGCGTATCTTTAGAATTTCCAATACACAGTTCTCGCGCGCTAGAGATGGAAAAAAAATTTTTTTCGTAGAGTGTTGCCATTGCTCTCTTTGAAATCGTTGAGTTTGTTAATCAAAAATTCGTTAAAGTTTTACAAAATATGAAATAGATAAAAAAAAAATTTCAAATTTGGGCTTCCATATGCCCATATTCTAGTGAAGGACGCTATCGCCTGCTATTATAATTATATATAACGCCTGCTATTATAATTATTCGAAATTAGATGTCTCTAGATACCGCCGTATTTTTCACAATGCGAGAAGCATACATACATTCATGCAGATTCTTCATTATTATTTAATTACTTTAAATATAACGCAGGGCTCTAATATTTAATATTTAGTGGCAACAATTTGAAAAGTGAAAAACAGTTTTATAGTGGACGACACAAAATGCTAAAACGAAAACAAAAGCCCTTCTGCGCAAATTGCCCCTTTGGGCTAAAAACATCTTCCTCAGCGATAATTGTAATTATATACGGCTGGCAGAATTACAGATAAAAATATCGTTATTTGTAATTGGTTCTTAATTGCAAAATTAAATCATCTTGAAATTTTGATCCCCTTTCGCCCCAAAAAGCAAATTAGAAAAACAAAACGTAAGTTAAAAATTCTCGGATTCGGATTTTTAACGATCGTTCTAAAGGGATCTTTTAAAGTTTAATATGGTTTATCAGTAGACAATATCGATAGAAATGGCCCAGGTGGAATATCTATAGGAACATTTTATGGAATATTAGCTGAATATGCAATTAGACTAGAAAGAGAACGTTATTCTTCTGTGAAAAAATATGTAATGTAATTCTTCTGTTATTCTTCTGTGAAAAAATATGTAATGTAATTCTATAAAAGCATTTAATGTTTTTAATTAGATGTGTCAGGAATTAAATGCATTTTTATTTAAATTAATTAAATTAGAAATTTTAAAAATGATGTTCTTAAGAACTGCGTCTATTGCTTTTAAACAGTTTAATTTAATTGATAACAAAGATTAAATGCGAAGGAATTATATCTTACGTTTTCCCGAATGGCAACAGACTCGAATGAAAAGGGAAACAGCTCAAAATCTCTTTATTAAAATGACCTTTGTTATTTAAATAAAGAGTGAAACTTATTTATTTTGTTGTTTGTGTTCTAAATTAATAAAATGACCTACTTTAAAAATAAAATATTATTTCTTAAAAAAATAGTATTTTGTATTTTTACAACCCCCAAATCAACTATTATTTTAAAATAAAATTAAGCATAATTTCTAATGTTTTTAAGCGATAAGTATAATAGTACTTCATATTATACCATATTATACAACTGGTCAAACTTTCTTGACATTCTGACCAACGCTGAAGTTTTAGTAAAATCACAGGCGCAAGGAGAAAAGTTATACGTTTGAGGAATGATAATAAACTTCAAATCCTTTAAAACTCCTGTTCTTTCCTTTATATCAATAAATAAATATATAAATACAGTGTCTCACAAAAGTGATGGGACACTTGTGCTTTACAAAAGGAAACCGTAATAAAATAAATTAAAAAAACATGTAAAAATTTTTTGTGGGTGTAATTCATACTTAAATTCAGTAACAATATTACATAACATACATTTTCTCAAAATATTAAAATATTAATTTAATAAAAAATACAATTGTTTAGAACGGAGCAAAAAATAGCTCACATAAGTGATGGGACACCATTAGATACTACTACATAATACTACAATAAAAATATTTTGGGGGGTTTTATTTTTACTCAAAAGCAATTGGTAATAACTTATAAAATCGTCTGCAGTATTTCTCTCCAGTTTGTTTTGGAATTTTTGCGTTTTTTTAGCTCTGTGCAGCCATGAACGCTGAACGAAAAGAAACTTTGCCTGAAATTCGAAAATTAGTTATTAATTTGCATATTGAACGTGGAAAATCTATTAAAGAAACTGCTGAAACAGTTAACTTGAGTTATTCAACAGTTTTCAGTATCAATTAATGATATAAAAAGAATCATATGATTCAGGATAAAAGAAGACCTGGCCGACCATCAAAGCTATCCAATGGAATAAAGCAAATTATCGTTCGAAATATTTTAAAAAAATCCAAGAATGAGTGCTGCTAAAGTTGCTGCTGATTTACAAGCATTAAATGGAGCAATTGTTAATCCTGAGACTATTAGAAGAGTAATTCGATCTGCTGGGTATCACTGTAGAGCAGCCAGGAAAAAATTCTTCGTAAGTGAAAAGAGTAGAAAACTCAGACTGGCTTTCGCAAAATCCAGCATAAATAAGAATTCTGATTACTGGAATGAAGTTATATTTGCTGATGAGAGTAAATTTAATATATTTGGTTCTGACGGTAGAATCTTGGTGTGGAGAAAACCCAGGGAAGAGTTTCGCAAACAGAACTTGGTGCCAACAGTAAAACATGGTAGAGGAGGAGTTATGGTATGGGGGTGGATGTCGTCCGCTGGAGTTGGTAATCTTGTTTTTATGGACAGTATAATGGATCAGCACAAGTATATTGACATTTTAAATCAAAATTTGAAATCTTCAGCACGAAAATTGAACCTTCATAACGATTTTAATTTCTGCCAAGACAATGACCCCAAGCACACTGCTTTGAACGTTAGACTCTGGCTGCTGTATAACTGTCCTGAATTATTAAAAACACCACTGCAATCTCCAGACTTAAATCCCATAGAGAATATTTGGCAAGAATTGGAATCAAGAATTCGCAAACACACCATTTCTTCAAAACAACAATTAAAATTGGTGCTTCAAGAAGAATGGGGTAAAATCACTCCAGAAATCACAAAAAAAAATTAGTCGAATCCATCTCAAGAAGATTAAATCATGTTTTAAAAGTAAAAGTAAATCCAACAAAATATTAAAACCTTTTAAAAAGTAAAATTTTTTGATAAATATTTGATGGAAAAGTAAATGTCCCATCACTTATGTGAGCTATTTTTTGCTCCGTTCTAAGCAATTGTATTTTTATTAAATTAATATTTTAATATTTTGAGAAAATGTATGTTATGTAATAATTGTTAGTAAATTTAAGTATGAAACACACCCACAAAAAATTTTTACATGTTTTTTTTAATTTATTTTACTACAGTTTTCTTTTGTAAAGCACAAGTGTCCCATCACTTTTGTGAAACAGTGTATGTTTATAAATTAAAATTTATAAGCATGCATAATTACATAGTTAAACAGTATTGCTTACGTATTCTTCATAGTTTTAATTGAGACTATGTAAAGTAATGTATCGAAACTTTCATGCGATTTCAAATTTAATCATAATTCTAAAAGTTCTTTTGTAGTGTCACTCTAAAGAAATGTAATATGTTAACACAATAACTATTTGTATTACAAAAATGATGAAGAATCTGCATCTATGGATATTACTTGCAGAGTGCATCTCGCATAGTGTTCCTCACAGAGTACACCTGTTAGAATAAATTTGTTTCACTTTTGCATAACGAAACCCGGTAACGTCAAAAAACAATCGAGCGCCAAACGATATATGTTAACGACAGAGGATTCTACTTGGGATTCGAAGTCTTAAACGTATTTTGTACTTTCATTATATTTGTGCTTTATTCCTTTCAGCATGTTACCTTCTTTTATGGAATATACTCTTGATAATATTGCCTAATAGGTAAGCCTGAAGCTATTTAAAACTTATAAATAAGTCTCTTGTAAGTTATTTCAACACTTCATTTAAATGTTTGTAAAAACTGTTAACTTTGATTTGTATTCTATTTGTGTTCTATTTAAGCAAACTCTCTAACTTGTTAAATAAAGATTTCATAGTAGTTCTAACTTTGAATTTTTTAATAAAACTGTGGTAAATAGAGGATAGTGTACTCAAACACCTAAACTGTGTTAAATGCACGACATATCAACAGCTCGCTCAGTGCTCACAACTGCGGCACCTAAGCCACCAGATTTTGAACACAGGTAATCCTCTACCTAAACATGTGCCCCCCCCCCGAAGCACGAATTTCAAAGTTAGAATTTTTTTTTTTATTTATTTCGTATTTTATGTGAATATAATACGTGAACTGTATATTAAAAATTCAGCGATTTAAAAGTTTTATGTTGTCATTCTGCAAAGAGTATATATTTATGTTTAAAATACCCTCTTTTGCAAAAAAAAAAAAAAAAAAAAAAAAAAAAAAAAAAAAAAAAAAAAAAAAAAAATCGAAGCACTATGAAGGAAGTGGTTGTTTTTGATGAAATTGAATATGTGTATAGCTCATACACATATAGTAAAATTATTAAAAAATCAAGGTCATAGTACCTGTTCACTGCTCACAATCACCCGTTGAGTGT